GCACCAAGCAGCATTAGCTTGGCAGGGTCTCCAGAGACTTTACTCCAGTCATCAGTCAGCCAGGAGTCCAGCAGCAACCTCAAGAAACTGAAACATGAGATGATTCACTAGCCAACAAACATGGAAGCGGCAAGTGGCCCTCTTGGAAGATTATAGGTTTATGGTTTTTTCAAATAGGGAGGTGTCCACTTCCATGTTTCGGTGCCCCAGTCCAAAAGCATTCACCCGTGCGGCCCGTGTTCTTTGATCCTTTTGGGCGCTTCTCAGGACCAGAAATGTAGACTGTCGATCAATAGAAGCCCTCTATAGGATATGAACATGTTTTCTAACACGAAGGCTTTGATTGATCAACAGGCTGTATCCAAAACAACCGGGTCTTCGGGTCCAACCCTCCGAACAGGTCGGCCCACAGGTCGGCCGGGAGACTGGGCGACACTGAGCAAACCTGGCGGGACGCTGGGTGGGTCATAGCTTTGCGGTTCAGATGAGCACACAAGAGAACATACAAATGAAAGCACACGAAGACATGAAAGCACACATATGACGTATGAGAGCACAAATTGAGAGAGCACGCACATGAGAGCACACGTGTGAAAGCAAACGCACACATATGAGAACCTAACAAAAACACTTGCACTGTGCAGTCGCCCTGGATCAATACAGCTTAACTAATTACTACGGTAATTAAGAACCCCAAGCGTGGTGACCCCTCTGTTCGGGGGAACAAACTTCATCTGGCACCAGCCTCCAGTGAAGTCCAGGAGAACATTGTAGATAGTCCAACCAACCTGACCCAGTGCAACCGGCCCAAGGTTGATATTCCGACTGGTGTTCTCAGTTGCGACCGTCACCGGGAACAAAGCATGGTCATGATTGCATCAAGTGCGATGACAAACTGTCAAGCTGCAGTCTCTATGTGTGCATCCGTGCGTGCTCTGAATATAAAATACTTATTAATATGGTTGTCTAGTTATTCCTCGACCCTCAACACTGCCCAAGAAACTGTGCTCTTCCTCTGGTAGTTCAGCCATACTTGCGGGCAGTATTTCCTTGGAGCGCCGGGACATAGAGCTCTCCAATCAACACAAAGCTTTCTTGGCCAGATTTAGCTTTCTTTGATGCCATGATTCTCTCTGTACGTTTGCATGGCACCTTCTGTGCAGGGGATAAACTGCCCTTCATACGTAGCTGCAAGTGGTTGAATTTGCGCCAAACACCATCCCCACCCGGACACCCGCCACGACCGTCACCAAGTCTCACCACAGAGATGATGACTTTCACCTCCCAGGAGGCCAATGTTTACAGAACTGCGACAGAACAGGATGCGACAGAACTGCCCTGGCTACGTGTGCCCTGGGCCTCAGCCAAGGTCGACAGGAAAGTCAACCACTTGGAGCAGCACCTGGTCAATGTGTGGCGAATGTCCGGCGATCGAGCCAACACTGAGAACAGTGATTCTGCATGTCCTGCAACAGTCGGGTGCCAGCTGTCGGGAAAGAGTCGCACCGAGTCGCACCTACCTCCAATAGTTGCCACCCAAGGCATTTCAGGAACCAGGGGACCAGGGGTTGACAGACTGCTTAGCAGTGACCTTTTCTACGTCTCCTTGGTCTACTTCGGAGCCAAGGTACCCTGAGAGGCTGCCGAGGTAGATCGCCAAAATGCTAGCGCCCAAACCTGACTCTCGACCCACGTTTGTTTCGGCCCAGACGGTGGAGGAAAGGCATGTGATTATTGAAACCCCCAAAAAGGCATCTCAAAAAAAGCAAAGGATCCTGCAGATCCTTCCTTGAAATCCGCATCCTTCCATGAAAGTGTCTTCAAACCTGGTTCAGCAAAAGGGCTTGACGAATCTGAACTTCTTGTAGAATCCGATGCATGACCTACCATTTTGTTCCGTCAGTCCTCCGCTTCCGTGTCAATGCCCCTCGGTGTCCTTCCGATCCCCCGGTGTCCCTCCCTCGCCTACGAGAGACAGGGATCCGATGACAGCACGTCGAAAGATCCGTTCCTGGTGCCTCAAGGGGGGATAGTCCCAGTAAATACCTCGGCGCCGAACTCGCGCTTCGCCTCGCGTTCTCCCAGCCCGGACCCGGAGAAGCCGTGAAGCGAGACGGACTGAAGGCATCCTCTCTCGGGCACGTCCGTGAGTCGAACAGTGAGTCCCTTTGGTTTTCCGGTGGGCTGAGTTTTTGCAAGCACCTCAAAGCCGAGAAGGTCCTATACACCCCCCTCCCGAGGGCGACGAACGTGGACTCTGCACTGTTCGGACTTCGCCACTGGTGGTTTCTGATGCTCAACTGCCCTGGGGAGAGGAAGACATGAAGCCACCCTAGCAATGGCTCAGGCCTCGGCACGGCACTTGTTTCTGTACACAATCAAAATTGCTGTGGGAAGCATCGAACTGACTGACTCCATTGAAACTGTCCACCATAACAAGGAATCTCAGCAGAAGATTCTGTCACAGCTTCCACAGCAAGGACATTCATTCTAGCTGGCATGCATGGATTCAGGCAATGGGATCACACTCAAAAGGAGCTGGAGCGGCTTTGCTAGCAACTATAGCTTAGTTGGACGTCTTATTCCATGGTTCGTTGTTCACAATGCTGGCAACCATCCTGCTCCCTCTGGCCAGTGCGAACCCCAGACCAGGTGGAACCACAATGCGACCAAATGCGCACTTGGAACTCAAGTTTTGCCTCTGATCTCCTGTCCCTGGTACAGCTCCTGGTGAGTGTAGGGATCAGCCTCTCGAAAGAAGACTTCCCGTTGCCTCTTGAGTTTTTTTTTGGGGTTGCCCACCCCTCTAAGTCTTCACATCCGTCTCACTCGCGATCGAGGCAGCTGGACCAGTCGGATCGAGGCTCGAGAAATCGGTTCCGAAAGCCAACCTCATCTTGGAAAGGGATGTGCCGATGGGCTTCTTGGCAGCTGCTTTGCGATTTCCAAGACGAGGTGCACGGGACCGCGTGCTCTCCGGAGAAATGACGTCAGAAGCTAAAGGTGTCCTATGGACCTGCTTCAATGCTTCAAGGAGGCTCTGGGAATTTTCATGTCTTGAATTGTGGCCGTGTGGAATTTTCATGTCACACCAGCACACCTATCTTCACCGCAGCCATCCAGGAAGCGTCTGTATCCCCCACTGAGGGCGGTTTTTACGTGCGCCAGAGTGGCGCAACGGAAAGCGATGCTCAGCGCTTCTTCATCTCCTTCACCACAAAACTACCATAGTTGCTGGCCTTGGCTGACCCAGCGCAGCGCGCCAAAGCCAAGGTGTCAGTGTCAGTGTCAGAAAATCCTTTCAAAACCTGGTGTTGACAAACTCACGGATCTCCCCACCAAATCTTGATCTCCCTTATGTTGGGGTTCATGCAGGAACTCCTTCAAGAATTCTAGCACCAACGCTAGGCCCAAACACCGACAGGCTCTGCAAGGCTTCGATGCTCTCCGCCAAAGCTGCCTTCAGCTGCTGCCTGTCCTGTCAGGACTCACACTTGACTTTGTCAGCGGAGACTGGCCATGACTTGCCTGCACCTCACTGTTCCAAGAGCTGCACGGTCAAGTTTTGCACATGTTGTCCAATCTTGTTGCCATTTACTATGATAATTGGTAGATCTGCCATATTCTACATGACAAGGCAGGACTTGGTGTGAGACCATCTCGTCCTCTGGCCCTGCATGCACCAGAGCGCTTTCGATCACGTAGCTAGCCACCTCGTCTGAGAATATCATCGAAGACCCCGAAGGCCGAAGACCCCGATCCCAATTCTTCCGCTTGGCTAGCCACATGAAATCCATGCGCTCATCAGAATCCCCTCCATTGACATCAGAAAGATCAAGGCCATCCAGCCACATCTGAGGCCATGAACCCAAGCTCCCCCCGAAACCGAAGGCTGCGACAAAAGGGGCCGAGGACCCGCGCCTTGTGCCGTGCGAGGCGCTTGGCTTCGGCACAGAGCTGCTGCAGCAGCTGGTGCCGCTGCAAAGCATCGCCATGCTCCAAAAGGTGCTGAACCACGTAGTTCCCATAGGCATGCCTAGTGACTGGTCGTGGGGGCCGCTGTGAGGGCACCTGAAGGATCCTGAAAGTAACCACACCCTTGGTGATTCAAAAATCAAAGACTATGGCTATGGTGATCATGATGTATGTCGTGGATCATTTTCATAGCCAAACACCATGTCTTCATACGAATCCAAATGGGTTCTCTATCGGCTCGGCGGGTGGCCCTGACTTGACTAGGCCAAGTGGTGGTGCCCGAACCGGGTTGAAACTTGCAAAGAGAACCAACAAAGTCAAACCTCGTACATTTGGCTCAGACAACATGATGCCTCCACACTCCACTTGCTCTCCAAATCACTTGCTGAGCTCTGCTACATCCGACCTCAACTGAAAGACGCAGACTCACAAGACGCACCTCACTGCAGGTGGTGCACGCAAGCTGGTCAGCTGATCCTTGTCCAACCCACTCAGTGGCTTCGATTTCCTCTGCAAGTCAATCGTTCTCCACGAAGGTCCAGGCATCGCTTCCATCTCTTCGAGATTGAAACTGATGGATCCCCATGGCCGTTTCTCGACTCCGGGTCTTGGACTCGATCTGCACACGGGCCAGTGTCCAGAGGTCAAAGGTGAACGGCTGGATTACATTTGGCGCTGGGTCTAGACCCAAGGATCATGGTTGACCCATCAAGATGAACAAGTGAGACTCGCAGGGAGGTTATTATATATATATATATAATCACGCCCATATCTCTTCCCGTAAACCAGGCCGGGCCCGGCTTCATCCCATCAACGTCCACAGACTGACGAACTCGAAAATCGTCCACATCCGCATTGCCCTTGCGGCTTGGCCGGGGCAATGCGCAGCAGATGTTCGCATGTTATGACAAACACCCTGGCAACGACGGCAGGACCAGGGGGCGCTGTGGAGAAATGAAACCATTGGGAGACAAAAACCAACCCACCTGCCGCAAAAATAAAATTTCTACGCAGCTTGCAAGGGTTTACGAATTATTCGCCGTGCGTGGCAGTATTGACTCTGGCATGCCGTTGCGCCGGCGCAAATCAGATAAATCCACGGTCAACCTCCGGATCTCCATGCCCACCTGGACATCCAAAAGCACATCAACAACAGAATCACACCCCAGTGCCCGATTCATCCGCCGCTAAAACCAAAGTCGGACAAAAAAGGAACACGTGAAAAGCTGTGTGCGCTCAATGTTCCAACTCTTGCAATTTTGCCCGGTCGCCTTCTTGAGGGCTTGTCGGGTCACCTTGTTTTCATAGCTCATCTTCACCAGTTGGATGCTCTTGGCTGGACCCCGTCCCTGAAGGCAACCAGACACGAACTCCTCAAGGTTCACCAGGCCCGTCTGATCATGGTCCATAATCATGAACAAGGTCCAAACATCGTGCGCCGCTTTTTCGGCCGGATCAAGGGTATAGTTCTTCGCTTCTTCCTGCCTGGCCTGCATCACTGGGGCCCACTAAGAAAGCAGCGTTTAGACTTGCATCTGGTTTGTTCCCCACCTGCTGGGTGAGGGTCGTCTGGTGTTATATCACCGCTGTCCTCCCTCCCTCCCTGCGATCTCATGCAGTGGGCACCACCGGTGCCGAACCGCAAGCGCCAGATCGCAGTGGGCACCACCGGACCTGAACCGAATAGAGTTCCAGAAAGAACGCCGGAAGAGATTCCCAACAGATTGCCGGAAGTGGTGTTAAAACTGCAGGCTTGAAAGCCGCACTCAACGAGAAGTGTACCAACTTGAGCGAACAAAAGCAAGTGCGCTCTGTTTGCATCCTTCCTCCGGAGAATGTGTGGCGACACTTTCGAAAGATGAACGATGCTCCGGATTCACTCAAGACTCCCGATCATGAGCGGGGCTCCAAAGAGCTCAAGGCCCTGAAGGCTATGTATGGATTCAGCGATGCGCCGCTGATGTTCCAGTTGGCACTACTTCCGTACTTGGAAGAATCCTGTGGGGGCACCCGTAGTCTGTTTGATTCAAACTTTCTTTACTGGTTGGAATGGATCAACAATCGTTGGGAAGTTACATTGTTGTTGACAGCACATGTTGATGATCTACAAATCACCGGAAATGCACAGAAGCGTTCTTGGATTCACAAACAGCTAGAAGCACGGTTTGGAACCTTGAAACGGCAGACAATGTCATAAATGCATGCAGGGATCGAACTCGAGAGACTTCCATCCGGCATACTTCGTTTGCACCAAGACAAGTTTTGCAGCAAGTTGGAGCCAGCAGATCTCAAGGACTTGCACGGGACTCCTGAGGACCAGCTCCTCGCACCGGAATACGTTACAGTTTTTCGGAGCTTGACATGCGGTGCATTGTGGGCTTGCCAGACGAATTGTCAAGAGTTGAGTTAAGTGACCTCCTTGCAGCAGAAACTGAAGCAACCGACTTACAGAGATTTGTTGATGATCAACTCGGTCATAAAGAGGCTTTCGATCACCTTCCAAAGACCGTTTTGGATTGTACTTCAGACCTTTGAAACTGCCCGTAAGGGTTGTGTGTGTGTCGGATGCATCATCAGCCAATAAACAGAGCAGCTACGCAACTGAAGGAATATGCATACTCCTTGCTGAAGATATTTTGGTGACACCGGAGACAGATGCTCGAGACTTCTTGAAAGAGGCACAAGTTGCTTTGACAGGCGGCTCCATGCACCTTCTTCACTGCTCCTCAACGAAAGCAAAGAGAGTTTCGCACAGTACTTCACATGCTGAGACAAATGCCTGTGCACGCGCCTTGCCGCATGCGCAAATGATAGCGCTCCGTCTTTGCGAGCCAGAACACAAAGGAAGACTTTGGCCATCGTCCTTAACGCCTATGCGTTTGTTGTCTTGCACAGAGGATTCAGAACCACTTTGCAATACAGATGCTTACGTTGACTGCATGGACCTCTTTGAATTGGCCACCGGCCAGAAGGGTGTACCATTGGATAAAGGACAGCGCCTTGGAATTTTTTGCGATTCGTGAAGAACGGCGTACACAGCGCTTGCGCAGATTGTTCCATGTTCAGACTCATTGGATGCTTGCAGACCATCTTGCAAACCATGTTGGATATGTATCTAAGTGTCTTCTTGAGTTTTTGACAAGCGGCAAATGGAACATTGCAGGATTGTTGAGGCTTCGACATCATTTCGGAACAGCACAAACATCAGGAGAAGAGTACGAGAGTTAGAATTTCAGTTGTTGATGTCCGTGCTGCCACGTCGTCACCAGACCAACAGATCAATTGGGAAGAAGTTTGAGTATGAGCATGAGGCACGACCCGAAACGTTTCACTGAAACCGCCACAATGTGGCTCAAGTCACACGCCAGTGATAAATGGTGCGCATGGACTGACATTAACACGCACTAAATCGAGAAGTGTACCACTTCCTACAAGCATTCGACATCCGAATCGCTACTCAACCACCCGGTGCAAGGAGAACATCGAGCACCAAACAGAACCAACCTCCACATGGGCATAGCATATGCCGCATGCCCAAAAACATGCGCCGAGCATGGGTGCAAACCAATTTCCCCAACCCAAAGCATGCTGTAGGGTGGCAGTGGGCGGGGCGTGCAAAAGACTTGCCTGCACCAATGCCGGCTCAAGAAACCAGAGGGGCAACAGACCTTGCACCCAGAAGACATGCAAAGAAAAATGCATGCAAGAAAACATAAACTAGCTAGTGCCCTAGTTTTTTGTTAGATGGACGTTGGTCCGCTGCACCTGAGATGAAACAAGTCTGAAGGGTGGTCCACATGCAGGATGAGCGTTGTGTTTTCTTCCTTGTCGTTGTACGGTGCATGGAGCTCAAACAGGCATGCGAAGACTAGACTAAATGTGAGTGCGGAGGATATCAATACTCTCTCACTTGGCTAAGTCATATGCGTGCCCCATTTGGGGAGACGACTTGAGCAATTCGCATCTCGCACATCATTGTCTGAGAACATAAAGCTAAAACGACTATAAGACATGCAACCTCATTGCCATACATACATTCTGGAAAAAAGAAATTGGAGGTGCAAACGTGCAAACCCGTCGTTTTGTATTTTGGAGTTTGGGGGAGCGAAAATTCGCAGATGTCTGATTGCTGCACCGTCCTCTGTGGAGATGCCCATAGATTCCAAGAAGCTGGACAGCTTCTGTTGCTGCATGGCCTCTTCCAAATCATGGATGCTTACCACATCCAGAGAGTCTGCATCGATCCTGGGATTTCAGGAACCGTTCCTTTGATCTGAGGGTTTTCAACGATGTCTTCGAATGATTGCAAATCAGCTGAGTCTCTCTTCGAAGATTTTCCGAAGGGCTTCCACGTGCGAAGAATGTTTTTGCAACTGTTTGATTACTGCAATGTCTTTGTCCGCATTGGCGCTTTCTATCGCAGTGTTGCAGAAAACGCCTCAGCCGGTGGAACATGTGTGGCCGAACTGAGCGTAGACGAAAGAAGACGAGCAGCTCGGCCCCCTTTTCGGATCGCGTGGTTTGCAAGGACGGGACATTGACATACCCCGCCACACAGTGGCCGACCACCACAAAAGACCAATGGAACCCGTCACCACAACACTGCGGCAGTGCAAAGCCCGAACGAGAGCAGCGAACTCATGTGCAACAACTCACTCCTGGCGGACCATGTGGCCAGTGATCATAATTCCAGCTAATTCTGACTGAAGATGATTGAAGTACATGCAGTGTCAGTATATATATATATACACACACTGAGGAGCAGTCTACAGTCAGGCATTGGTGGGACTGGGAGCGGTATCTACCAAGCGCTTCGAATCTCGCATCTCGTCAAGGAACCAGTGACCACGTTGAGGACCTTAGCTGGAGGAGGAGGAGATGGTGGAAAAACCAGGACACTAGGGCATAGGACAGGGTCCCGTTCACTGGGGACACATGCCCCCCGCGTGAAAGGGTAAAATGGGTACATATATATATATAGTTATATATATATATATACCTATGATATCTTAGACCCTTGCCCTATCTGTCTGGCGTGAGGATGCGCTCATTATGAAGGGTTGATTGTGCCCTTCAAGCAGTGAGAGGAACCACAAGTTAATTTTTGGGGGCCAACTGGCCTCGCAAGTACGGCAATTCTGGGCTTAGGGTTGGCCATGCTTTGGAACATGTGGAACTTTCTGCTGACGTTTGGACATCTGGCTTCCCCCTGACCAGCCCGTGTCGCCAATCTGCTGCGAAGACTGTCATCACAATGTAAACCACCATGAAGATGACCGCCACGGGCGATGCATTCCGCAAAGGGCTCAAGGCATCCTCCCAGCTGAGCCCACCCGTGATTGACATAAAGAGCCTCGGCCAAACCACCCAGAACCTTTCTAGAAGCAGTCGGGTCAAGAAAATCCGAGTTTAAACGCGTGAAAGCTGCTTTTCTAGAGCTGCTGTCTGGTCCCACGCTGCATCCTGTCTTGAGCCGATTTGGGAAGGGTGGTTTAGGGAAGAACACCCCAGTCAGACTGGTCTGATCGTGCCCAGGTGCGTCAGCATGCTATCAGACACAGTCCTGGCAAAGAATGTTGGAGCTTACAGTTCCATTCACAGCGGTGCTATTGTGGTGGCAAGCCACCACATCATCCGTGCCTCCAATGACGGTAGTCAGAAGGGCAGAGCGGCTTCGCATTGGGGTTCCCCGTGATCTCGATGGCCCTCGCTGCGAGCAGAATACCATCAACCCTTCAAACCCCCCAAAGAACACAAAGAGGCTCAAGGTTACGGTTAAACGGTTAAAACAACAACATGAAAATTCTGCGACTTTGCGACGAAGGGCGCCAAGATTGGATGCAATGCAACAAGAAGAGGTGTTGAGAGTGTTCTTATCCGTGTTCTTTTTCTGTGAGCGATCGGAATCCCCCAAAAAAATATTACATGACAATCCTACATGCATTACATTGCATCTGACTCCTTTTTCGTTGCCACTTCCATTCTTCCTCCCCCTTCCCCCACCCGTGTCGCCCACTTCCCCCACCGGGCCCCTCCGCTCCCACCCGAGTGCGGTCCCAGGCGCGCATCGCGACAGTGGTCGCTGACCAGCTGAGTCTGGAGGACTCCAAACCTCCAACGGCTCCGCCGACGGACCCACCGACACGGTCGACGCGGACGCCGCGGTTCGGACGGTGACCGGGTGGATGGATTTCTCCACTTTGATTGGGGTCATGGCATGGTGCATGGTGGTCTTCAGCGCGAAAAGAACGGAGTTGGGTGGCGAACTTCCGTCCCTTGGCACGAAGCGGTCGGGAATCCCGGCGTTGTTCACTGCTTGGCATGCCTTTTCACCCGCGGGCTCGGGGTCCAGAAGCGTGTCGCGGAAGCAGCCAACGCAAAAGAGTCGGTTCTTCACAGCTCAGCCCAGCTGAGCCCCGCACGTGTACCAGAGAAGCACCAGCAGCACCAAAGTCCAGATTAAAGAGCCCACTGTGCTCACGATGCATAAGGCCAAGGTCCTGCCGGCGAATCCAAGTTCCTATGAAATCTTCCATGAGGGCACATCCCGCACGCATAAATCAATTCAATGGATACTGTCAATTGATCACTGACTCATTCGTCGCATCCCTTAGTCCGTTACAGGGCACCCCCCCTCACTCCTCAAGGCGCTGACGTAGCGGAAGAGCCGCACCACCCGCACCCCGCGCAGGGCACGGGCGAGGCGGATGCTCCGCACCAGCCGCAGCTGGCTGCTGTTGGTCACGGACCCACTGTCCGCCGACATCATCTGCAAGCAACGACACCACCACTCCAAGCCAACCAACTGATATACAGTATACGTAGCTATCGGAAATGAACAGCAGGACGCTCAATTGCTCGAGACTTCTTAGGCGCCTGCACTAGGGATGAGATATGAATCCTGCCACACTTGTTGGAAGCTGCGGCCTGTGCCCAAATGTCAATGCCCGTCTCAACCAGCGAAACGGCGATGATAATGGCGTCCATGATATTCCAACTTGCCTGGACACAAGGGAGGTTGATGTTCTATCAGGTCGTTGACCCGGAGAACCCGTGCTACACTGTTGCATTCAATGCAAACCTTACATGACAAGAATGGTTGGAGACACGGCCATGCCATGACTTCCATTCAAATCAGTTGAACCTGCTGTCCCACCTCTGGGCCACACCAATACTCCTGACAAATCACCGGTGGCGCAAGGGTCTGTCAACATTCGAGTCTCGAAGTCGTCGAACCTTGAGGTTTTAAGGGAACTCCTATTTGGGAAAGCTGCTTCTGATCACCCAAAATTATTGCCGTGAATCGCCATTTTCTTTTTAGGAGGTGGGCTGCCACCTCTATGACCGTTTCCGTCCTCCAAGCCCTGGGCCACACATTTGAGAATGACCTCAAAGACGAAGAATAAGACAATCACCTGTGGTGGCTGTTTCTGGGGCGAATTCCGTCCTTTTTTCCCTAGAAAGATGCCAAGAAAGGAGCTTCAACAAGCTTCAAGACCTGCAATGACGGCAGGAAAGGCCGAATCATATTGACCAATTTAAGCGGCAGAATCGTGTTTCTTGCTCGCTGCGGGCATGGGACAGAGTTCACCCAGCCAAACCACTTGGGAATGTCATCTTGCCCAAGGTCAGTGGACACATCCACTTCCACTCCCAACCTGAGCCGGTGAGACTCTGCAGGGAAGGTATCAGTATTTTCTTCGGTCTTCCTGATGGCCTAGGTCTCCGCCTCTTCATGGGAGAGCTAGATGATGCTAGATGGGGACATCAATCCATCCGCCGCGGTGCAGAATGACATTCAGCATAATCACCATCATAATGACGTTTGAGGCTGTTGTTGACGAGATGACTTTGTCCAGCTTGATCCTTCACCCCCCATGAATCGAACATCTGCTTGAGCCAGCGAAAGGCTTAGACTGTAAATATCAGGTTGTAAGTCATGGCATGTCTTAAGAAATCTATTCATGTCAATAACATTCAATAACTGAATATCATTCTAAATCTGTGTGTTACCAAGCAGCTCTTCGATTTGAGCTCGACATCCACACCGACCTGATTCCGGATTTGAGCTGATCGAACCGTCTTCGTTCGGTCACCGAGCGGGCTCCTCCATGCACTCCTGCCGCCCGTCTTCGAGGATTTCTTCTCCCGCAGCCGGGCTAAACGCACGGCCTCAGAGGTGGCTCTCTCCTGGCGCCCGGATGACCTCGACCCCAGGAGCACCGGTCTGGGTGCGCTCCGGCCCCATGGGAGAGCCAAATCCCAAAACGGAGCTGGCAGGATGGACCTCTAGTCTGGGACTTCAGTGTCTCCGCTGCACAGCCTGCACCATCCCCCCAAATCATTTAGTCTCTCCTGGTGTGCTTCCAGCGCCCGGCGCACGAAGGAGTGTCTCGAGCTGTCACGCTTCTTCTTATTCTTTGCCCTCTTCAGGGAAGGGCTTTCCTTCACTGTCCTTGGTTCATTGCTTTATCGCTCAACCCTTGCAAAAAGATTGGCCTGGCTTCGCCTTTTGTCGGGGAGCTGTTCAATGATTCGATGTAGCTCTCTCACCAACTGGGAGGGGAGGCTTTAAGGATCCTCAAGGCTCCCCGGCATCGATGCAGTCTTCAGCACGCGTTCCCGTTGCGATGAAGCGTTCGCTGGGATGTGTCGGCGCCGTCGACCGTCTGAAGCCCCATATGGCCGCGTGGCGTTGCTCGACAGAGTGTCAGTGCCATGTGCCCTAGCGGGGCGACTCTGTTCGTCGTCCTTTGCCACATGTCTCTGGCGTCCTTGCTCCGTTCGTATCGATGCCCTTTGTTACTAAGCTTCTTTCTCCTAGTAGTAAGGGCCAGGAGCTTCTAGTAGCTTCTTGTTGCTCATAGCGATGCCCCGGTAGTGCAAACCCGGCACAGGGCAAATTGGCATGCTTACGATTGCTTACGTACATCCTTGTCATTCTTTGGCGTGTTGGACGACGAGCCTTACGTGGGATCTTGGGCGTCTCTGCCCGCCGGTCGTAACAGTTCGACCATGCAGCAGATTGTCGGCCTACCAGATGGCTTTCATGGCAGATCTCTTGGTCTACTTCTGACTGTTTGAGGGGGCTGTTCGCTCTGTGTCTCCGAGCTTGGGAGCAGATGCTAAGCTGCTACACAGTCTTTGCTACGCCGACATCTGGCACATGGTCCTTGAGATTCATCAACCAATTCTTGTACAGAGTACAGTCTTTGATTCTTTGCTAAAGATTTTCGAGGTTCGTGCACCAAATATACCAGATCCTCTCAACACTGAGCAACTCAAGGATGAGCTTAAAGGTTTAAAGCCGGGCAACTCCTCTGCCTTCTGGCGCTTCTCTTCCACCTCTTCTGATTCGTCTTCCGTGTACTCTTCCTCCTCTTCCACCGGTCCGTGTTGAGAGACGGCCGATGTCCTCGAGTCCTTGTGAGCTGGGAGCACTTCGGAACGGGAGCGCACTGGTGATTCGGCCAAGGCTCCAAACGGAAAAGGGAGTTGTTCACGGACACGTTCCGGGAGAAAATGGATGATCTGGCATCCCCATCCTGAAGCATCCACACACTACGAAAAGACATGCGTGTGCGCCAGGCAAAGTGGAGGTGAGGAAAACAATGAAGTGCACAACCCAACCAACCAGTCAGCCAGGGTGAACAAATGTGATACATATGTTGATACATGTGGGGGTCCGATGTGGGTCACGATGTGCAGGCAAGCTTCAATCAAGCTGGACATGGATGGACTACTTGGGCTGGGGCTACTCGGGCTGGGGACACTCTCCGACTCCACACTGAGGCGGGCCGTGGACTCCATGCTGGGGCGCGCCAGTCGCTTGACACGAGGAGCGGTCATCTGGTGCCGCAGGTCCTGTAGAATGCTGAGCTGCAGGGCGAAGCCGTGCTCCATCGTCTTGCGCAAGCTTTGCAGCTCCTGCTCCAAGGGGGACTCATCAGCTTCAAGCTCTGCCTTCTTACAGAAGGACACCATGGCAGCGGATCACTGAGCCAACAGCTGTGAGTGCCCATCTTGCACTAACCTTCCAAGCATCTGCTGGTTCCAGCTGTTCCCCTTCTAACATCTCCTAACTTCCTAACTTCCCAACTTCAAGGGGTTCATCATTTCAGGGGCAGCTTGAACAGCTAATATTATACGTATATATCAATATAACTCTCCTGACTCCAACTTATTTCATGAAGGTGTCCGCCCTCAAATCGCTGGCATTCAGTGCCACCAAGCATCACCACCTCTCGCAGAATCGCTTCATTCTGCTCACGGCTGCAATGCTCCAGGAGCCGTTCCAGCACACGGCAGCCGAAAGGGTGTCTGAGGACGTGCTGGAACGACTGGCATTTTGACCCAGGCCCCTTGTCCAAGCATTACGGGGGTTAGCACTCACATACACCTCAAGGACACTCCCCCCAAATACAAAGCCTTGGCAGCCTTAGCCAGCACCCCTCACCCAGGTTTGGCACATGCAAGCAGGATGCTCTTAATGAGCTCATGCTGCTCATGCTATGTATGCTTATCAGGGCCGACCTCATTCAATATGAAGAAAAACAAGCAGTGGATTCTCTCGGCCTGTTCGCTTCTAGGGACTTACTCGCTAGCTTCTTTATGCAGGCGTGCTTACCATATCATGGACAGGCATTGTTTATTGTCCCATGCATCAGCCACCCAGCCTTGCCGCATCAGCCACCCTGCCGGCCAATTCCTGCGGAAAAGCCACGGAACTTGGGCAGTCTTACAAGGCTTACAGTCGGGGCGTTTCGGCTTCGCAGTTCAGCGCTTGAGCACATCACCGACGCTGCGGTGTGGAAGAAGTGATAACCAAAACTGATCAAAGTTACATAAATTTCAATTCCAAAAAAAGAAAACTAGGAACCAAATCAGTAGTGCGAGCGCTTCTTCAAGGAAACTTCCCCCCGCCCTCAGGCGGGGAAGCTTCGTAGAAGAAAGCGTGAGCTATCCTGCGTCCCGTTACTAGTAGCTTGCTCCCTTAATTAAGTAGGCGCCTACTTGATTCAGCAAGGAGGCAGGGCCAAAGAAAAAGAAAGGATTGCAAACTCCAAGACTTCAGACCTTCGGAAAAGAACAACTTGGCCAAGTCTCGTCGATCACAAACTGAATCTTCTCTGGTGGCATCAACGCCACGATCTTTTGCAGGACGTGATTCGCGTGGGGCGACTTAAGGGCCATCCAGACGCGGCCCACCATGGTGTTGGCCAACAACTGCTTCTCCGCATAGTCGGCAGCATCCAGCGCGGCTTGCACGACCCGCGTGCCGTGCTTGCTACTGGCCAAGCTCCAAGCATCTTGGATCACTTGCTGCAAGAGTTCTTGACGTTGAGGGAAGTGAGGTTTCATCAACTGCCGACTGGTCCACTCACAATCTCGGCTCGTCCATCGGGAGCTGTTCGAAGAGGCCGCGGTTTGCCACGAGGCTTCCGAGCTTGGGGTCGTCACACGTTCCAAGAGAGGTACTGGAGGAGCTGAAGTGACACCAGCCGTGCCAGGAGCTGCCGGAACTTGAGGAACTGGAGGAATCTGCGCAGCTGCCTCTGAACTTGCCTCCAAGCCGTGCTGCGGCATAGCCACCATGACCAAAGGCATCATCTGCGGCCAATGCCCAGAGGTGCCGTTCTCAAAATAGGGCTGGGGAGAAGGGAAGAAGTTCATCTGGTAATCCGGAAATGTGGATGGTGGCACCTGATGTATCTCGGTGTTTTGGCGAGTGAAACCCTCCTCCTCATCCTCACTGGCTGTTTGCCAGCCATCCTCATGTGCTCCATGTGCCACCGGTGCCCCATGTGCCCCATGCGCTTGGGCCACCAGATTACTTCGGCGCCCCCGGGGCCGGGGCTCGTGGCTTTGCCTCACCCCATGGATGGCACCCCCAGCCGCCACCACCCAAGCCCACAAGCTCCCAGCAGAGCTATGGGCGTTCTGAAGCCCTGACACCAAATGGACTGGGACATAAACGCCATGACTTCCGGCCGTCGCTCCCAAATGCAAGGGTGCCGGCACGGCGGCGGTTCCACTAGAACTCTGCCGGGGCCGCACCTGAGGAGTCTGAGCTCCACGAGCAGGGCTGGCTTTGATGGGAAGGCTGAGCAGAAGCGCTAGAAGGCTTCGAAAGCTGCTCTTCGCGGCCATGACCTCAAAGCACAATTGCACCCACTTCATCCCAGTTCCCCTCGCCTCCCCTTTTTTTTGCCTTCAGGCCTTCAAGTTCAAGATCACATGTTGATAATGATTCCAGGCATGCTGAAGGCATTGACCAGTCCCGCCTCTGTGGGGAGAAGGTCTGATCAGACGTACCACTTGAGTCCGGCAGAGCTGCGGAAACAAACAACACGTAACACGCAGACCCGAAGAAATCGTCCCACCTCGTCCACTGCCCGAGTGGGTCCCAAAGTGGGCGGACGCCACCGTTTCACACGCGGCGGGGATCCCAACAAGATGGGCCTTCCCCTGAACTCTCACAGCATCCGAACATGAGGGTGAGATAGGGCGGGACAACCTGAAGAAATCCGAGTGCAAAGGTGTCCTCTTCTTTCTTAGACTTTGAGGCAAGTCGCGATGTCCTACTGTGAACTCTACTGATCGACGTGTCGCCTCGAAGGCGCCATGACTCCATGACCTCACGGAATCCACTCCCCAGTGCCCGACCGGATGCAAATTTGAAGCAGGGTCAGGAGAGTGATGCAAAAGGCGTGGCCAGCGAAAATCACGTCATTGAGCCGCACACCACTGTCCTGTCTACGCCATGGGCCATGCAGCGATGCAACATGCACGTCGAAGATGCCGTGAATGAAGTCGTGAAGAAACAAACTGACAAACCCAAGGTCATTCGCACACCGGCTCCTGGTTGTCATGCTCCTCTCGATAAGCAGCACGAATGCCAGAATCGTAGAAAAACATGGCATTGAAGAGGAAGTAGCATCCAAAACCAAACTAAGTCAGCTCTCAACTGTCAAAAGAGCAATGAAAGCTATTCCAAGCTTGCCACAAAAAGACAAAGAAAAAACGTAATCTAAACACACACCTTGTTTGGAGGTACTAGACCCAATTCGGAGGTGTGTTGTGCTGTTGTGCTCTCACTGCAGCTGGGAAGCAGCATTCAGAATCCTTGCATTCAAGGCAGCACAACCAAAACAAAAAGAAGCCTTGCATCGTTCGGTTGACACTGTGACGGTTGGCTTCGGCACTGGCTGGCAAGAACCTTCCAAACCTGATGCGGCGTGCCAGCGGTAATCACCGGCGTCACCACCGGTGTCGACGTCGAAGGGGCCTTGAATAGAATCTGGCCAAGAAGCTGGTAATCTAACGACAAACCAGCCACACTCTTCCTTCTGAAGTTGAGTACGACCTGCCAAGGTTTTCAAACTCCGGCAAGATGGCTATCTCCTACATATAGATCACTCAGCTGACTGCAAAGGGACGTACACATGATATACTGTAGAATCACAAGAATCTTGCTTCCGAGCTATGCATGAACAAGTGAAAGGACCCTCTCTCTCTGACAGCTTCTCTGACCAAAAGCTTTATCTCACGGGCCTGTGGGTAGAAGGAGACTGACCTGCTGGAACAAGGGACCATGCTGAGGTTGCCAAAGCACAAGGACCCTGCCATTGTTCAGCCTACCCAAAAACGAAAGTCTATATACCAATGTCTGCTCCCCTTGGAGGCTGCAGTCATCCCCTCAACCCTGGAACGCACACGAACAATCATCCAAGCAAACCAAGCGGCCATGCAAAGAAGTAGGTCCACCCCAACATTTCCGAGATGCGATTGCCCCACCCAGCTTCGGCCGGCATGAAGACGCCTGCACTGGAGCCAAACCTAGATCTCAGCCACCCAGCTTGCTGTACAGGTTCAGCTTCTCAGATCTATGCAAAGCAGCGCAAAGCCAAGCAAAACCTCCAAGCTGACTGAAAGGAATCTGCTGGGAGGTGTGCCTCTCTCCCCATCCCGCAGGCGGGCCTACGATGACTCCCAAGATCAAGGCACCTCAATTGCCAGAGTTGTGCAGGAGCAGAGTTGCAGTCCCAACTGGAAGACCGTCCGCCCCTTACAAGCATGTGTTGAGGGCCCATCGTCTTTATCTGCAAAGGGGTATGTTCGGTGTAGATCGTGATTCCACATGCTTCCATATACCGACCTGGGGAGAAGAAGGCGGCCGAGAAACCCGGTACCCAGAGTTGGTCCCAGCGTTCACCTGGGCGGATGTGGGCAACTCCCCGACAGAAACGATCATCGCTAGAGAAAGAACTGGCACCAAAAACCAAGGTCTATACAGGCCTCGGTGTTCTCTTGAGAGTTCATCGCTTTCACTCTCCACCATCCTGCACTTGGAACACCATGAGCTGGCTTTGCACTGCAAGCATGCTCACGTACAGATTGGACAACAATAATAGTAACAGTAACAGTAACAGTAACAGTAACAACAACAACAACAACAATAGCTTGCAAGCTCGTCTTATGTGGGGCACGTGTTCGCTTATGCCTATAAGCACACTTATATACAGTATAAGTCTAAGTCTAAGTGTTACTGCACATATTACATACCATTTAAAAACACTTGTGGCAGAATATGGGGACAAATGGTCACATGGAGTCTCCGTCCTGTCCTGCGGCTGAAGTGTCGCGCCCGGGCGCCACGCCACCAAAGCACCGTGGTGGCACTGCGAAGGGGGCACCACCGGGACATGAACCACCGCGTGAGCTGCCAGTGACAGCTGGAGCCAGGGCCAATGACATCATTCATCATGCAAATAGAAAATGGGGCTTGAATGGGATGTGCATTTTGAATAGAGAGACCCGGAAGAAACCTAAAACAAATCATCGTGCACCTCTTCCCCCACTAAAGACTTGGAAAATCTTGGAAAACCCAACCTGTCTTCGAGAGGGAGCCATGACCAGCCGGCCCACCAAGAAGGGCCAAGCATGTTTTCAGCTCAGGCATCCCACATGTCGGTGAGCCCTAGATGAGCTCCAACTACTGTGACTCAACAAAAAAAATTAAGGATTGTAAAGACAATGAACTTTTTGAATTTTTGAATTTTTGGACGGTTTTGTGCTATTGGTTCGGGCAAGTAGTTTTTGAATTTTTGAATTTTTGGGTTTTCCCATGCACATTTTTTTTCTGTGGGGTTTAGAATTTTTGGATTTTGGAATTTTTGAATTTTTGAATTGTTGAATTCCGTGTGTCTTTTCAAGTTTGGAAATGTCGCGTAAAACGATTGCTTAGTAATTATACTGTGTTATTTTTTTTGTGTCGTTCCCGACGCGGAGGCGGCCGGGGGCGGCGCGAAAACCCAAAAATAAGGATTATATATATATATATGGGATTATATGGGTTTGTGTTCTTGGCCATTGCTCTCTAAAACCACCGGGGGCAGTTTCCACTTCCCACACCTCAGCAGCTTGGCCGCACGCACCCACGGCACCCACCAGTTTTGCTCATGGCTTTTTTTGGGCCAATTCCGCGTGAGACTGAGGCAAGTCTCTCAGAACTTTGCCGTTCCATCAAGCTAATGACTAGAACCACAGTGGTGCGTGTTTGTGCATTCGTGAGAGGCGTAATCCATATTCCAGTTATATCTTGCTATTGTAAGGCGGGCTCCCCTGCGACCGTGCATGAGAGCATGAGGAGCAGGCATCAGCATTCAACTTGCAAGTCACCTTAATGACAAGGCATGGAGAGACTGTGAAGTGTTTCCTTGATCTGTGTGCTTGGCTGTGTGTCTTGGGATTGCTTATTGTCACAGCATACTAGCCACACAAGGGACGGCCTATGGCAGTCTCAGAATCAACACGCAACCTCACAAAACCACCACCACCACCACCACCACTACTACTACTACCGACGACCACGACGACCACGACGACCACCACCACCACCACGACGACCACGACGACCACGACGACGACAACGACAACGACCACGACAACGACCACGACGACGACCACGACGACGACCACGACGACGACCACGACGACGACCACGACCACGACCACGACGACGACCACGACGACGACCACGACGCGACCACGACGACGACCACGACGACGACCACGACGACGACCACGACGACGACCACCACGACGATCACCACGACCACCACCACAACAACCACAACAACAACAACAACAACAAGAAGAAGAAGAAGAACATCAAGAACAAACTGCCTCCAGTGATGTAACACTGCCCTCGCACCCTGCTCCGCTGACCATCCTGCCAAGTGTCGAGCCAGGGCCGGATTTCCAAGCGTCGAACTCCCGCCGCGCGCGGTCGCGCAGCGTCTCGCGGTCGCCCTCGGCTTGGAGGCGGCCGATCAGGCTCCTTGGCCAAAAGCGGTGAAGCACCGAGCAAGCCAAAGCGAAGGGTGCGCCCGTGGCAGGCGGGCGGATGGCCAAGACATGCCAAGACCCCACCTACTGCGTCATAGCTAGGAGTTAGAAGTGAAGTTGGCAAGGTATCACAGGACATAGAGGCACTCGCCAATCCCCAAAGCAGAAACTATCAAGATCGAAGACACTCTTGCGCTGCATCAATCTCCCATTCCTCAGCTGAAGGCACCTGCCTCTCTGCCTCTCACCACGCTGAGAACAGTGCCAAACACGCAACAGCATTGCAGTGTATAGCACAGTGGACCCCAACCATTCCAACACCTTTTACAAGGTCAAAAAAGGACTGGAAGGTAGCTATGGTGTTGGTGTGCAGGCTCTTGGCGCTGTCAAGAGGCCTCCAACCCGCCCTCCTCGTCGTCATCTTCGTCATTCCAGCCCATGGATGTGAGCAATCGACGCTCCTGGCAGGACGATGCCTCCGTCTAACCTGAGCCCCCCAAAAATGTCAAACTCACTGCTTCACACTTGAGCCCTGAAGATTGGCTTTGGGAAAGAGACCTCGTCCCGCGCCCGAAAATGGTCAAAGGTTGACCTCTGGCATTGGAGGTGGGCAAGCTCCATGCTTCCACCGTTCAGTAACCATCGCAATGGCAGATCCAAACCTCCAAAAGATCGATCGGTCATGGTGAGTCAATTGCGGGTAGTTCGATATCATGGTGTCACTGTTGGTATCGCATGCAGGTGTCATGTTGTGTAATGTGTGTGGCCTACCGTAAACACCCACCCTATGGAGCAAAGGGCGCATAGAATGTGAAGGATGGGTCAAAGATCGAACAAAACCCTGAAATCAGAGTGGAGTCGAAGTTTGTGATAGTCCCTTCTTATTCCAGGTCAACCTCATCCGTTCAAATCGGTACAACCGGGCATGAACTCACTAAAGTTGCTTCATCATTCACCAGGAAAGGTGCACCTGGCGATCTCACTTCAAAAGGATCAATGGTCATCGACCATTCCATTTCGAGATCAAATTTGGTGCCAACAAAGCACTTAATTGACAAGCAAGCGCAATATGCATTATCATCTCATACCTCCAGTGATTCTCAGAAAGGCAGTGTTCAAAAGAACTGCGCCAAAACGGCCACGGATCACGTGTTCCCAGTCATTAGCAGTCCGAGAGCTGCTTTGAATATCAAGTGCTTTTCGGTTTCACGGCTCCTTGTTTGGCCGCTGTAGATGGTGCTTCTACCGTTCTCTCGTGCACCATCGAAGCACCGAAAGAAACGCCGCACCCGGCAACCAAATCGGGTCATCAAAATCGGCGAACCGGCGACTTCCTGTTTGGGGCCCACGACCTCACCCGGTGTCCCGTCCTCCTCCGTGAAGGCGGGTGCCGTCTCCGGCGCTGGCGGAGACGGGTCCGCCGGGTCCGCACGGTCGCTGGAGCCGGCGCCCGAGCCGGAGGGCGCCGGGGCGCCTGGGCGGAGTAAACAGCGGATTGACCAGCTAAATAACTAAATTGATTGAATCTACTACACCCTGGAAAATTAACATGGAACCATATGGAACCCGAAAACCACCCGGTTGTAAAGCAAAAGAGTCCAAATTGTCCATTTTCCGGTTCCATGTTGAACTTCCCGGGTGCAACTGGCCTTCCAACTGGAGGTGTCTCAAAATGAAACCCAAAACTGGGATGAACGAAGGGAAGACAATGGCCTGCGCCTTTATTGAGAACAGACATGCTCATGGAAGAAGAGATGTCCTGGAGAATAATTGACCTCCAACACAGCCTGTCCAGTGCGAGAAGCCAGTGGAAGCTGGCACCGATGGCAAAGGAGTGGAGCACATCCTAAGTGAAGGTGAACATCAAACAAATGATTGAAGAGCTGGAAACAACATGAAACATAGGAATAGCCTCTTAGCCTCGCACTTCACAGACCAGAAACAATTAAAAAGTTGTGCAAAAATACCCCACTTCGTCAACGGGATCCAGCTGAAAAACAAACTCAGGGTTCTCTTTGCATCACACCTGTAGCCTGTAGCATCATCAGAAACTGGTCGAGAATAAGTTCCTCCAAAATTTCCCCTGCGGTTGCAGAATTGTACAGAAGCTTCTCCTACAAACCACCCGACCAGTTCAACAAGTGGCGCGCAGGCTGTGCGGGAACTAGCGTTCTCGAAGGAGCAAAGGGGGCAGGCGTGCACCTCCTGGTTTAACAAACCCGAAGCACATCAGCCCACGAGTGCACTTTGTGCGTGCGTGCTGTTCACTAATGCAATTTTCAAAGCACGTGTTACTGCGTTGGGCCTTCGCCTACTTAAAGTGAAGGAAAATGTTTGCCCTCACAACTCACAACACAGCCTAACCTCCAGATACAGTCCTGAGCACTGGATGAACTCGAGCGAGCATTCTGCAGGGCGGTCACACATCGAAACCAGGTCTCCGAAAGCAATCGAAAGCACAAACCACCGCACAACACACTCAATGACTATCAGATATCACAGCTGTGACCACCTGCCACTCGCAACACGAGATCCGTCCTCGCAAAGCTCACAGTATGGCAACAGCCCAGTGTTCTTAAAGGAGCACTTGCTGCAGAACCTTGGCCCAATCAGATCAAGAGTCTGAGAGCGAGCAAGTCAGACAAATACGAGGGATGTTAAATAAAAACCAGATCTTGCGCCCATCCTTAGCCTCAAAGCCCCACGAGAAGACCAAAATCACATTCCCATAAATGACAGCAAAACCAAACCTGGGCATCTATCCTTGATGTCAGGCGGGACAGCAAAGAGCTTGGCAGGAGCCCTTTTCAAACCAAAAGAAGCCCGGTAGGGACAGGCCACTCCGGATCCAAGTCTCCAAGCTAACTCAAGTCAAGACAGGCACCGGACTCTCCAAGATGTGTTTATCCCAAAACTGTACAAAAACGTATCAATTCCACGCTTTTCAGACCACCTGAATTCCAAGCAGCCAGTCCGCCGCGTCATCTTCCTCAGCTAGCAACGGTTCGTTTCAAGAAGGGCCACTGGACTTTTTACATTTTGAGTCGTAGAGGGACAAAATTTGAGTGAGGGTCTTGTCGCAAAGACCCCAATTAAAGAAAAGAAAAACTGGCTTGTTAGAACTCTTCTTCAAGGGGATGCAAACCTCGCTGAATCGACAACCAGCTCCATAGGGGCTTCAAAGTGAAAGTCCCTGTCGCACGTTCACAGTTTCAGCTCCCTTGTTTGTGCCAGAATGCTATGCCATCTTAATCGTTGCTGACAAGGATGTGCTCACAAAGGGAGGTTGTGCGGCGTCAGTCTTCCACCACCGGGTGCTACCAAGCATATTCACATGTTCCATCACGCCCGTCACAGAATCCCAAAACATCTATCCAAAGTGCGCTGCCTTCTTCTGCTTCACCTGACCGGCGTGGACGGCATCCACGGCATCAACCAAACACTTCGGTGTCCGCAAGCATCCTCTGCCCTGCCAATTCTTAACTTCCTCTGAATGCCTTCTTTAGAATGTGTCCAAATTGTCTCCACGAGCGGGGAAACCTCTATTGGGATTTGGGGAATTCCTTCTATCGTCCAAGCCACGTGATTCGCCTTCTCTCGGCTCTTGACACATTTCACCTTGGAGAAATCAGCCAAGCATCAGCTGGCCCTGCGAGATTGAAATGAAGTGGTTGACCAAATCAGCAAGTGCAAAGGTCCAATAAGGGTGCACAAGTTACATTGTTATATAGATGTTGATAAAACCACTGGATTGCACCACCATCGATGTGCAGCAGCTGAAATCAGTTGCACATGGAAGGATCCTCTTCCAGGACCAAGATGCAGAAAGGCAAGTCGTCATCGTTGACGAAGCTACCTGGGGGCAGGATGTGCGGGACTTCGTTCTTTTTTGGATCTGACATGCCTCTGGGAGATTGCTAGCTCAATCTCATGCTGAATGTCTGACTGCAGCTGCGGCACACTTTTGGCACCTCCAACTGGAGACTGCATCAGCTTGTGCCTTGGTCCGCCACACCAGTCTGTCATGATGTCGGAAGACCCAACGTAGTAAGACCAATGTAAGACCTGGTGCCTTCGCCAACAGAAACACCTCAAGAACTGCACTCTGGTGGAGGCCAACATCTCCGACCCGACCTCAGCATCGCCGCGCTCGCGCTTGCAGCGGCCGTCTGCTGTGATGCGATGCTTCGCTTTGGGCATCGCTCACGCTAGGTGCGGGCGGCATCCATGGCGCGTGGACGTGTCACAAGGCGTCTGACCGGAGCTGCTCCAGGGGCGGAGCGGAGTTACTTACGGGTTGTACTCTTGGAGGAGCGGAGAGTAGCACAGAGTGGTCAGTGGAATGGAGTCAAAGCAAAGACATTGTAGCACCACTCCAGGTCCTCCAGTCCACAGTGGAAAGGTGGCTACATGCTGCCAAAAGCATGAAGAAGGCGGTGGCGCGGTCGTTGTTCCATAAAGCTTTACTTCTCACCATATGTGTTTGTAATGGCCCATGCTTGAAGACCAATGGCCAAGAGAGCAACTTGAAAGCGACATAGCCCAGCAACAAACAAACATTCGTGCACAAGAACCAACGCAAAGTACATCTCCGTGCCTCTTTTCGGAATACTAAGCCCACACAGCTGACAGCCGTGTGGGCTATTCGTGTACAAAACGAGCATCATATGCGGAAGTGTCGCGAAATACGACGATGTGCCCAGATACGACGATTGGTGGCTAGTAATTACAAGTGCCTCGCTAGTAGTAACAGGTGCCTTACTAGTAGTAACAAGAAGCTATTAATTAGAATTCTAATTGAATTCTTATTGTCTTGTGAGGTGCGTGTCTTGTGAGCCTTCGGCACGTTGAGGTTTGGGGTGCCCCTGAGTGTGCCTCTGGTCTCCTCATGGGGGTGAATGTAGGGCTGTGAAAAGAACAGCCGCTGGGCACTGCGAAGCAGTGCACAACTCTGCGGTGGGAAATCTCTCAAGACCTTGATCCAGATCTATCCGCCTTTGGGTCAGACTTGCGAAATCTTCAAAACAGCTCGGGCGCAGTTCACGAACCACAGTAGGATCTCATACCTATCGAGGTGGCGTTTGGAGCGGGCGAATGTTTTCTATGAAAAAAATGCCGAGAGATTGCGGATGAGCTGATTGAAAGTGTTTCAGGCCCATTACGAGCCATGTTTCAGGCACTGCTTCAGGCCTATGAGCAATGCGACCGTTGGTGGGGTCTCTTCCTACTACAGAGACCGGTAGGAAGCTGCTTCGTGACAGGTGTGACAGATGATAATATGGACGCTCATAAGAAGTACATGCACACGTGAAGGTACAGCAATGTTGGAACAGGCTCAGCCAGTGAAGGCTAGAAAACTCGAAGCGGGCACCTTTTGTCATCTTGCCAGAAATGCTCAGGAGAAGTAGGACAGTTTGCCCTTGTTGTCATTCAAGAGGTCCAGCTGTGTGGGAGTCAACTTTTGCTGACATTCCGTCCATGCAGTCCTTGGCGTTGATGATTGGCCGCGCAACAGACCAGTAGCGTCCTTGCTCCTAGTAGTCCGGCCAGGAGCCCCTAGTAGCGTCCTTGCTCCTAGTAGTACGGCCAGGAGCCCCTAGTAGCGGCCTTGCAAGTGGATCCTAGATTCCCCAAAATTGTTGGTGGATGACCCAACTCGGAAAAAGAAAGAGAAACTCACTCAGCAAAGCCATGAAGTCTGGCTAGATTGCTGCAGCTTCAGAAAGGCTTGGATGGCGGATTGCACCTCTTTTCTTGCCAGCTCTTGGATGCCTGGCCTTCCTGGTAGCTATGCTCAGAAAATGTCTAAAAAAATAGGAACCGGAACCCCTGCCACCTGCCCCACACTTACCCATCACAAATTTGACGGTGGCCATGTTCGGAGCATCCAACTTTGGACAACGCATCAGTGTTGTGGACTACACACACATTTTAACCTATGTATTATCGCACAGCATCCTGATTCAAGTGAGTTGTTCGAAAACCCTGTGTTGCTTTCGTGCGGCATTCAACGTGAAATTGCAACTGTGGCTTTCGCGGGATCATTTCTGTTGCAAGGTCCTTTCGCGGGTAACATAATCCGCCAGGAAATGTGCTCTCGTGGCACTTTTGTAGCGCATGTTTGTTTGGACACTCTTTCGCGAGCTTTCCCCCACTCCCTGATGAAATGGGCTACTTGCGGCAACTTTATGGGATTTGGGAATGCCGCTTAAGTGGTTTCCACCCCAAAATGTGAAAAACACATTGAAGAAGCACCGCCCAGCATCCTGTCTTGCCATAGGGTGCTACGGCTTGAATCGCCTGCCCCGACCATCTTGGCACTCCACAATCAGCTGCTGCCAGCAACATGCAGGCCATTGCACTCACAGCTTGGCAAAATGCCACAGCTTCAGCCTCAGGTGGTACATCATTGGGTTTGCGCATGGCTGGACCTGCTAAGGTTTTCAGGTTCTTCAGCTTGACCACCAGCTCAGCTTCTGCTTCAAGTGTGAGGAAGCTGGCCACTGAACTCCTGGCCGCAGATCGAATTTCAGGCTTCGGGAAGCCCAAAGCCCTCTCAGCTGCTACGCGCAGCTCTTGGTAGAGCCTTGAGGATTCTTCGCCACCTGTGAGTAGAAGGAAGAAATTGGCCACAATGGCCGGCTTCAGGCCGGCCGAGAATGCTTTTTCGAGCTCCTTCTCGATGGCACCTTCACGGAGCAGTGGTTGCAATGCCCGTACCATGGGCAATTGGCTCCAGAGCTTGGGTTCTTCGAGGCTTGGAGTCAATGGATGCGCACAGCAACACAAAGACATGGCGTGGGGCGCAATTGCCCGGAGCTCAAAGTCCCCATGCGCCGCTGCAGCTGCGATGAATTGCATCCAATCATGAGCTGACGATCGAAGATGATGTTGACTCATTCCTTGTTGGCTTTCACAAGCACAAGCAAGATCTATATAACAATTGTGTCAACTTGGACATGAGGTTGAACAGTGTGGAACATTGCTTGAAAAAATTGGAACCACCCAGATTCTGGTCAAGGATGAATGCAGCAGCAAGTATAGCAAGCCTGAACTCTCTACCACATGCTTGGGTCTGGCACCATCCTCTGCCGTGGTGTTGGTGTGTGCCGCGTTGTCTGCTCTCAACAGTCCACTGAGTCTGCGAGCCTCCTCAGCGAACCAACGTTCCAGTGAGGTGGCCACACCTACCAGCCCAGCTGCAGAGGATGTTTCGAGCGTTTGCGAAGCATGCGATGCCGCCTCAACGATGAAGTAGAGACCTGCAACCGAAGGTATCTACTGTAACAGTCTTGTTCACCAAAAAAAAAATCAACGAGAATATCAGAGAATCACATTTGTGCTGACCTGGACATGGCTGTCCATGATTCGACATGACCTATTGCCCTCATCTTGACACATTCAAGCCATCTTGACCCCCTCGTTCAGCGGACCTCTTGCAACCTCTTCTCGAAGTTGCTTGTATGGATGACCGAGTCCTAGCTCCAAGGTTTCCACCAGCTTCTTGCAAAACTCCTCATTGTTGGCCATGATCGTGATTGCTGATGGCTCAATCAATAGGGACATCAGCAGCCGCAGCCGCTTGAACGAGTCAAAGGATGAGCCTTCCTGGTCTGAGGCTTCAGAGCTGTAGTCGAACTTGATCGGTGGGAGTGTACAGCTCAAGGTGTTGCACTCTAACTCACCATCTCCACAAAGGACGAAGTTGAACAGCGGGATGAGGAATTGCATGTCCTAGCATGGCTAGGCGTCGTCTCACTTCTGACATGAAACATGGTGCGGTTCAGACAGAGGAGGAGCTTAATCCTTCTGGTGGCCACAAAAACACCTGCACCCGCTTTTTGCTGGCATTATGATCTACAGTAATAAGTGGGCCATGGCAACGGAGTACGGTTTATAATATGCACCCCGCACGTTCTGGCAAACGATCGTTGCAGTGAATGGCATCGTGACCAGGGGTGACCCACTGTACACGAAGCGTTCAGTTTGGCTCCCCTTTGGCAATCCAGCATCAAGAACAAGATGGAAAGAATCAAATACCTGTTCTCAGACATACGGGCACTAACAATCTAAATAGAAATCATAAATCAACCAATCCCAGAACCTACCTACCTGATACAAATGGCAACCTGGTTCTGCTTGTTACCGCTACCCACAGCCTGTCCTCCTCCACTGCATGGCTCGGGAACATCGCTGCCAGCTTTGGCCGCTTGCAGCCGGTGACCATGAAGCGCACGCCATCGCACCAGCCGCCCAGGCGTTCCTCCGAGCTTTGCTGCAACCTCGGCTCGATGCACCGGACGAAGTCGCCGTGCGAAGGACCGAAAGTTCCAGAGCCTCCGTGGTTCCAAAGAGTTGGACGTTTGGTACTTGCATTAGTAGACCGTTCGGACTTCACATTGACCGACTTCATGCTTCGTTTGTACCTCACCGGTTGGCTCTCCTTTTTGCTACCCAGCCACACTGAGAGGAGCCAGGGCCGAAGCGCCGTCCACAAGCGATCCTTGGAAACAGGACGCACCTGGAGCCGTCAGTGAACATCTCCAAATGTTTGATGGCCCTCCCCATCTGTCCCAGACGTTAAAAACCTCACCATGCGGGTGTCCAAAACTCATTGCAACTCGAAATCCCCATTCTTTCATCCAAGCATCCCGCAGCTCCTTGTCTTCCGCTTTCCTCACCGCCCTCAAGGCCCCCGCCACCATCTCCGCGAAGGCCGCGTGGAACTCGGCCTCGGCCACCGGCTGCGAGGCCAGGTGTTCAGCGCCCGAGCGCACCAGCTCCAGCAGGGCGTCCTGGGGCACCTGGCGCAGCGGATCCACGCTCCCGCAGGGTGCGCCCGGCAGATCCCCGAGGCCGTTTGGGAGGGGCATCTGGAGTTCTTTCACATGTTTGGCTCCTTTGGATTGTTTGCGGTCTCCTGATTGTGGCATTTTGCCCCCATGGGCCGCCTTTGGACAGAAAGACTTTTGACCAACAACTGCGGCCCAGTGAACCCATGGGAGTGTTTCCCGTCAAAAAGCCTGACAAATCTTTGGTCCACCTTTAAGATGCCAGCATTGTGAAGAGCTCTTCAAGGGGATGGATCCTCAAACTCTCAACACACCTGCTTGTTCACATGTGTTCACTCCAACATCGGGTGCAAATGATTGTACGTGGATGGTCGTATCTCAAACATTGACCGACCCACATCTCATATTACAAAAGCCAGGCTTTCACCCAAGAATTGTGTTGTACAAACCAAATGTAGCATCAAAACATGAAAGGGATGTAAATGATGGCCCTGGGGGGAAAGGGAGGAGTATGTTTTCATCTAGTTGGCATTTGCTTGTTTGAAAACCATGTCATGTTGAAAGATTTGTGGCGTGGATGCAAGGGATGCAATTGCCTTTCTTAAAAGGGCTCAATGAATGCAATTGGGCGCCTGAAGGGCACAACAAAAGTAAAGACAGTAAGGCAATCTATACTTTATACAGTATACAAAGCAAATGAATGTGCACTCCAATGCAATGCAACATTTTGACATCAGGATTTCTCTGCTGAGATCCCACTGTGATTCAATACGGTAGAACGATTTGTCTAAGATTCACGTCTGAAATCTGGCACGATGTGGCAGGGCTAATTGGTTTCGGGCGCTCTGAACACCTCCAACTTCCACCGCGATCAACCAAAGACTTGAAAGACTCAAAGACCAACTCATCCGAACTCCCACAGGGTTGCCCCCGCGCCTGGCCCTTCAGGAATTTCACATAACTCTGCCAGAACAAAACGTTTCGAATGGAGAAGGATCTCGAGGACTTCTTCAGCCAAATCCGAGGCCACACGTCAAAGAAGCCGCCGCTGGTCATGGCCTCAAGAGGAAGGCCAAACGGCCATTGGAAGAAGGCCAACACCGTGGCCCGACAGCGGTGGGCCCGAGCTCTGTGGCTCAAAAAGGGAACACCTGCAGATCAAAAGGAAATGGAAGATCATGAGAAGAGCCCACAACAACCATGTGACCACTTGGAAGATCGGAAGTGGATCTAGGTCTTCTGTCTATTTAAATCCATTTGGGGTTGCCGCGTTCTTTCGCATTTGGGTGGAGTGACATTCACCGGATCTCTCGTTGGCTCGCTCTTCTGCCCCATTTGGTCGTCTGCGGTGGCCATCAAGTCCTCATGGTGAATCGGCGGCATGACCTCGGTTCAGCGTCAGATGCCTAAAGAGGTGTCTCCGTTTCTTCTTACATCACATGTGATGAACTGTCCTTAAAATATGTTCTTTTACCATGACATGTTGTGAAATACAGCCAGTCGCGTTATTCAACCTTGTCATGTTTGTGATATGCGTGGTTTTGCTGTTAGACTTTGGGTGACACACACTCCGCATGGCACCCTCTTTTCTAAGCACGATCCTCCCAACCTGCCTGCAACAAGCTCTGGAAGAAGGAATTCTGAGCCATCTTCAGCTCTGCCAAATGGACGCTCTGGAGGATGTGTGTGGAACTCGCCGACTGCTTCAAGATCAACAGCAAGCCATGCACGGCCAGAAGGTGAAGCCCGGGTTGACCCTTCGGTTCGATGCACTTCACCAACCATCTGCCCCACTTCATCCAAATCTCTCGCACCTGGAGGACTCGGAGCCGCACACGTCTAAGCAGGTGGCTGCGATTGGGCGTTTGAAGGTGTGCGTTTCACGAAAGCAAACGCTTTGGCAGTTTTAGGTGCCTGACTTCTGTGGCCATGCAACCTCCCTCCCACCCCGAAAAAGGAGACGTTCACGAGTCACGAGTCACCTTTTTCCCGTCTTCCGTCGGTGGAAGACAAGAGCCGCCGCTTGTTTCCGGGCCTCTGCTTCCAGGGGCGGTGCCAAATCTGGAGGACAACCACTGGGCCCTAGGGAGTTCAACAGGGCCAAACTCACCGTGGTGGCCATGACCTGCGCCCGCCAGTGACAATCCGCCCGCTCGCACAGGTCCATCGCCTTGGACACGGTACCTGACGCTTTGAGAATTGGGATCCCCTGAGGACCTCTCAATCACGTGCATGTCTATTTATATGCATATATCTATGCAGTACGTGTGCACGCAAATGCTTATATTAAACTTATGCATGTGTATATATATATATATAGTCTTTTACAAATTATGTGTGTCAATATGGTCTCCCCTGTGTGTGTGTGTGTAAACCCCTGTCCCTAAGGGTTCCGCTTCAAGGGTTCCTTTTGTCCAGCAGGGGGACCAGGCATCTCGCTGCTCACCTGGTCTAACAAAGCTAGGCAGCGAGATGGGAAGCACTGAGAGACGTCTCGGTGTGTACCTG